TGGGAGGCTGAAATTTTAGGAGGTCCCTGCCCTGTGTGACTCCGCAAATTCAATTTCAGCCTTCACATATGTCAGGGTCTTAAATACGGTTGCGTCAAAGATTTGGCGCAAAGACTAATAACTCGAGAATCAATTTTCCTAAGCCGAAATTTGGGGAAGATTGCTCGCATGCGATCGCCTAGGCTTAAATTCAACTCCTGCGTGTGCCTAGATCACATGTATGAGTGCGTGAAGTTTTTTGACGCCAAAACTGCTAACTTGGAAACCACAAAGGCTAAGGAGCTGAAATTTTAAAGTAGTATTCCAAGTCCATGTTCTCAAAGATTTAAATTCTCCCCCTCCCTCCTCCCCAACCCCCACTTACACCTAAGGCCATGTATGGACAACTGAGAGTTTTGGAGCGAAATTTTTCGCTTTGGAAGCTGACAGGTAGAAAGCTGGAAATTTACTGCGATTTTTCCTCTGAATGTACAACACTGGAATTTCAAATTCAACTTCCACGCACACTTGTGTCTCGAGTACGATGAACAGGAATTTTAGACGGGAAATTTTTAAAACAGAATGCTAGCTGTTGGGGGGCATTTCTGTCCGTGTATGAACCTACTAATTAAAATCTAATTCTCATGAATGCCTACGTTTTGCGCATGAGCACACCAAATTTCATATTTTTGCGCATATCAAACTGTAAGGCAGTGAATACTCTTAATAGCAACCACCAGTCGAGTAGAAGTGTGCAGTCGGCACGCATTGGCCATGCTGACGCATGCTGATTTATTTGCAAAAACCCAGGCTGGAACGCACCAGGCGAGCTGGTGTGACCATGCTTTTTGCACTATTTCGTGCTGTAGCAAGGTCGCAAGGAAACACAGTAGCTAGAATTTGCGACATACTGGCCCTTGAAGTTCAGAAAGTTAACTATGAAACTACGTGGCATGTCAGTTGTAGATGCGTGAAGTGGCATCTACAATTGACATGCCACGTAGCTGCACAGTTAATTTCCTGAACTTCAAGGGCCAGTATGTCACAAATTATAGTGAATTTGAAATCTCTTAGTGCACATGAATAAGAAACATTCCCTCAAAATTCCAGCCTTTCAGTTTTTCTCATACTCGGCTTAGCAATTTTCCCACCAAAACTTTCACGTGCCCGTACCTGAGACATGGGCGGTTCTAAGGAGATAAATTTGAAGGCTTTTGTTTGTATGTGGGTAGGGTACGTTCCACTAAAGTCTCAGCCTTCTAGCTATCCTCCTTCCCGAGTTAGCGATCTTCCCGCCAAAATCTTCACGCGCTCAAACGCCGGGCCCAGACATGCATGAGGGTGGTACCGCGGTCCTGGGGTGGCACTTGGCCGGGAAACCAACCAGCAAAATTTTGGCGCCGGAGCATGCTTGGTTACCGAGTTGAAATACCTGGACAGGCGAGCACACATAAGCACACAAGCATACACATACAAAGTCGTTGCAATATGCGTTTTTGCAATTTGCATATATGCACGAACGCATAATAACCACATGTGTCAAGGTAGTAAAAGTAACCACATCTGCTACAAATAATAATCAGAACCCGGTTAGCGACCAAGCCACGGCGAGCATACATAATCCATGACAATTCGCCAAATTTGAATGTTTCATGAAGCCAACTGGATTTCGGCAGTATATGCAGAGCTTTATCAGAGCAGTATGGCTTTGGCAAATTATTTTTTATGCACATTTAGCAGACTATAAAAGGGAAGGAATTTCTGAGTACAATCACTGTTTGGTCTGGGACAATTGCTGGCTGGATGTTGGACCTGTCACGGCTGAAAGTTCTCTGGGCGCAGCGCGGGCTCAGCAGTTTCAAAATCAACGAAAACTGGTGGCCGAATGCTCTCGCAAAAACGACAAAATGTTCGAAATGGATTGCTGGTCCATTGGTTGTAACGTTCACAGCAGAAGTGGAGCGAAAGGTGGAAAAGCCCAGAAAATCAAGGCATCTTCATTCTGCGAGGAAACAGGCCAAGAAAGGATTACTGGATTCACGGAACGGTCGTTAAGGAAGGAACTGTCATGCAGCCAGCTGGCAAACCGAAGACAGTGCAACTGCTAGCGATTCAGTGACAAGGCGGATTCCCGCCCGACGATCCAGATCTGGTACTATCGACAGAGGAAGGCAGAAGTGCTTGCAAAGCAACAAAACTGCGTCAAACAGGGCCATATTGTTATTCTTGGTGAACTAAAGCAGATCAATTTTGTCGCAGGCTTCACGGGACGGAGACTTATATGGGCTTGATTTTGCGATAACATGTCGCTTCGGAAGTATCTCTGGTTTCAACAAGGAGAGGCGCAGTCGTGGAAATGCACAGCGAGACACCTCCGTGCTGTGGGTTCTCGCCAGACGACCCGAATTTGATCAGAGGAGGATGAAAAGTTCGTCATAACGGGCTTCACTTATGTCACACGTGAGTATTCGATGAATTGTTGCTGCACGTTAATCGATGAGAGCCGTGGCACAGTTTTTCGCCCAGTGGGCTCAAAGTGCTCAGAAACTCAGAAATCCGGCCGCACCTGGAAGGCATTCAAAAGTAAGAAGATATTTTGCGAATTGACCATTCGGTCACGAACAGTTATTGTTGGA